CGACAATGCAGAAACAAAAAAGTACAAAAGCAAAACAGATAAGATTAAAAAATAAATAAAGTCCTTGATCGTCTTTAAGCTTTATTTGCCACAGAAACAGTACTTAACGTCTTTAACCGCGGTTTTTTCATCTTTAGCATCTTTTTATTCTTCTTTAGGTGTCTTTCTTTCGTCGTTAAACGTCTTTTCTTTCGTCTTCATTCATAAAATATTCAATTTACTTGTTTTTCTTCTTTAATTTTCTTTTCTCAGTAGCAGTTCTTAGCAATCATTGCATGTTTTAGAAAGTGAGCGCAAGTCGTCGTATAGTTGGAAGCTTCGCGACTTCCTTCTTTGACTAGGTCGTAAGGTGTTCCCTCCTTTAACTTTAGTTACTTTGGTTTTAATTCGAAATTGCGGACCAAACTGTGTTCTTTTTATAGCTAATAAATCTTCCACTTCTTTCTTCATCTTAAATTATATGTTTTCTTCTTGAATTTTAAAGATCTGTTGCTTCGCATGTTTTCGAAGTTCATTTCTTTCAGATTCAAAATTCGCTTGAAATACAACCTCTATCATTTTACTCAACTTGTCAGTACCTTTAGCATCCATCTTTGTACTAAACAGCAATTCAAAGGGTGTGGTATCAATAATTCGCTGGTATGTCCAGTTAATAGCCTTTTGCAGTTCTTTTTATGTTTGTACCACTGAGCCGGATTTTCTAAATATAACTTTGAAATAACTGATACGATAATCTGATTGATACGTTCGACTTGATCGTTGTTATCTCAATTTAGCTGTAGCTTCAGCAGATGTTATAGACTTCACTAAGATGTACTTGTAATTTGTATGCGCATTCTCCAAACGGTGATCTAAATGATACTTTTTTTAACCACACATCTTCTTTGTGCAATAGATGTAGCAGATATTTCTTTCCTTTCTTATAATTCACAAAATACAACCACTAATTCTTTACCATCAACAAATTTAAATAAAATTTCATTTCTAATACAATAATCTTCATAACCAGAAATTGTAAGTAATTCTTTAATCGCTTTTATTTGACTATCCTTATCCTGGACTGATTTCAACTTATGTAAGATATTATCTACTGAAACACAAAAAATATTATTAATGAGCCATCCTAGAACCAGAGCGATGCTCCATCACATAATTAAAGTAGTAGTAACAAACGAGCCCAACGAGCAATAAGAGTAGATAAGTCACGTTTTGACATCATCTTTCCACACGCTAAACAATCAGAGACAACTTTAAAAGGAATTCCCAATAGGCACACATGGAATTCCTTTAATGTTTCTATGAGTGCAAGAGATTTAAGTTTGTAACTAGAGTTTTTCTTTTCAACGTCTATTATCGCTTGAAGACGTCTGCACAAAAATTGCTCCATATCCTTCTAAGCTAGCATCAGTATGCAATTCAGTCTCCTAATTGGGATTATAGATTCCTAAGACCGGTTTTTCAGCTAGTAATGACTTTGATCGATTGAAAGAATGCCTTTCCTCGTCAAATTTAAATTGTCGGTCTTTTTTCAAGAGATCACTTAAGGCTTTAGCAATAATGAAATTTTAGAAATATCCGGCAAGTCAAAAAAAAAAAAAAAAAAAAAAGCTATGGACTTGTTTCAAGTTAGTTGGTTCTGAAAAATTAAGGACCACTTTCGTTTCTAAAGCAGAGGGAGAAATTCTACCTTCCTCGATAACATGACCCAAGAATTGGATTAACTTCTTCAGAAAAAAAATCAGATTTCTTGAAATTAATCTCGGATCCGTATTCACTAGCAAGCTTTAAGATCGTTGAAGCCCTTCGATTCCTTCTTCAAGGGAGAAAGACAAGCTTATTACGTCATCCATGTATGGCAAAACAACACCATCATTAATTAAAGGTCGAAAAATCATGTTGATGTACCTCTGAAATACAAGCGGACAAATGCTGCATAATCCAAAAGGAACCTAGAGAAATTGATATTGCCCTTCGTGTGTTACAAATGATGTTACATACTTCCTACTATCGCTGTTTAAGTCAAAACGAAAAAATTCATTTTTAAGATCAATTGTGCTAAACACGTGTGATCTCTGTAACCGATCTAGAATGTCTTCAATTAATGGAAGTGGAAATCTGTCATTTACAATTACTTTATTCAATTTCCTATAATCCATGCATACACGTGGTCTTCCGTTCTTCTTTTTAACGATTACAGCTGGCTACAATATTCTGAAGAACTAGGTTCTACTATTCCTTGCGCTACCCATTCAGCTACTTCATCTTTGACAATTTTTTTTTTTTTTTTTTTTTTTTTTTTAAATGGCTACCTACGAGGCTGAAGAAATGTAGGTTACTATATTTTACCCAAATGTTCATTTCTGCAGTATTTGTTTTTACATGGTACATAATTCGAAACTAATTGTTGCACCTTATCTCTGAAAATATTTTGATCATCAGGTGCACTATTTACTTCAGCTTCATCATAAGTTAAATCAATTGGAAGAATAGACAAAGTATTTATTTCTTTTATGCACTGAGATTTATTTCTAATCGTAACTCCATTTTCATTTATTAGTCCGCACCCCCTACATTAACACACCAAGTCCTACGATGATGTCACATTCAAGACGCAACATCGTTTTCCAAAATAGCAAATGTTAGCATTACACTTAAAGGTCATTAATTTACATTCTTTAGAGCATCCTAATGATTCTACTCGACATTTTTCAAATTGCATCAAAGTGGAATTCGAACGCCCTCAACATTTAATTTATCGAAGAATGATTTTTTAAACAATGTTGCTTGAATTCCAGGGTATATTAATGACTTTACCATTAAATTACCAGTTTGTTCAATTTTGATTCAACATTAAGATTTAAAGTGGCTAATTCTGGTTTCGAATTTGTTTTAGAACACTGAAGATTTATGACCAAAAGCTTCACATTTGAAACATTAATTCCCTTACCTTTATAAATAAAAGTTTTAGAAATATGATTTTTTTCAAACCACAATTAAAACAAATTTTATTGTTACAACTTCCACAACTATTATATTTCATATCAAAATTACCATCCTACTTTAATTTGTTTTTATTCATACCTTTGTTTTCTGAGTTAGTTCTATTATTAAAATCGTGTTTTCTTTTCGTACTGTCGAAAGCACCTTTACTTTTTGAAAATTTGTTTTCATTACTTCGTACACTTTCAGTTTTTCTTTTAAATACAAATAAGTTTTGCATCCGTGCAATATAATTTTGTTTTCGTGCATCATTTATTCCCTTTATAACATAATGTATTAAGGCAGCGTCATCTGCTTTCCCCAAATTACATAATTATTTCATTTTTAAGAAATACTCTTGAGCTGATTTGGTATTTTTCATTTTCCTTTGACTCAACAGCTCATGTAAATTAGCAAAATTTATTTCAAAACAAAATTCATCGATTAAGGCTTTCTTCAATTTTGGCCACGAATTGAGCTCCGGTTCTTTTCGAACAAATAATGCAGCGTTCCTGTCAAGTGATCATTTGGCGAAAATAAATTTTTGTAAATCTGACAAATTAAATAATTTTGAAGTATTCTCAAACTGTTGGACCGAATGAACAACATTCCCAAACGATACTCTCTTAAACTTCGAAATAGTACTTTCGATGTCAGAATAATTAATTGCTAACATTCTGAATTACAGAATTTCCGTTGATTACATTTTTACACTTTTTACATTTGATGGCAATTTTATAAGAAAAACTGCGAAAGCATGCTAATAATTAACTGCTTTCTTGGTTACATTACATTTTTACAAGCATGATCACTTCAGTATACTGTATAGAAGAATCAAGGTTATTTTTCTTCTAAAAAATATCGCTCTGCATTGAAAAATCGTTTTGACATCTTTTATTTATTTCAACTTCTGTTTCCGATTCATCGGAGCTAGACGTATCGATGCCACTTACATTTTGAGCTGGTGTTTCACCATCACGTAATAAAGATAAAATTCTTTTTGCTAGCTCTGATTTATTGCCTTCGAATGAAATGCTTAGGATATTAGAAATTCTGACCAGCTCATCAAATGAAAACCTATCTTCTATATGATTTAATTTCTTTCTGAAGCTATCTGAAGCAAAGTCAAAACCAGAAAAATTCCTAATTCTCTTTCGATTTGACCTATCACCATAGCAAAAATAAAGCTATCTAAAATTCTCATTTTATTTGCTCTACAATTCTTCAATGCAAAGTAGATTTTTTTAAATCTCACTTGGAATTATTGTCGAATATGAAAAAAAAATTCTACATGCCTACTAGCTTTCAAGTTATTTAGGTAATCCAAATACTGCTTTGTTCACTATGCAGTTAATCCCACTTCTGAAGAAAAAAATTGTCGTAGTACTATTTTGTGGGCAATAGAAACATCTACAGAGCTTCTTTATAGGACAACACATTTAATTACATTAAAATATATACACATTTTTACAAATACAATAAACTCAGTTCGCCTCTTTTAATTTGATAGAAGTATTGTCTACGTCTTTTATTCCATCATCATCTGTTATTCAATACGTCTCAATTCCAAGTGGCAACTGCACACATCAGAAAGAATTTTCACAATGTGCAGCTAGGCGCCATCTGGGGTTCAATTTCGGCAGCACATTATATGTGTATAATTCAGTGCTTTTGAAAACATTCGGTATCAAAGTCCTGCCGATAACATTTTCTTCATGTGAACTGTACATTGTGACTCACAAATATAATATAAACAACTTTGAAAAAGGTTTACAGATAATATCAAAAAGTGGTTTCATTGCCAACTAAAAAATAAAATTTTCAGCAGCATAAAAGAAACTCGTATGTGAATTTAAATTTACATTAAAAGGTAGATTTATCAACTTTCGCATGTTTTTTACATATGTACAGATAACAACAACAACAAAAAAAAAAAAAAAAAAAAAATTATTTGAAAAACTAATGTTATTAAATAATGTTGTATAAAGAGTTTTTTCTCATTTTAATATGTTTTATTTCAGATGGGCCGAGTTTTTCCACAGCAGATATAAAGGCTGCATCCAAAATGCCAGAAACAAGAAATTCTTTACAAGAAGATTTATTTCCTTCTACGCTCACACTTGCTGATGAAAATGATGATGCAGAAACTTTCAGGAAGAAACTCACATTTGGACTTGGCATTGCACAAATATTTTGTGGGGTTATGCTTGGTGTTTTTGGTCTGCTATCTATGAATATGGAAGCAGCAATGTCATCTTTGGCTGGTGGAGTCTGGGCAGGAGGTATCGCCATAGCAACAGGGCTGGCAGCAATATGCTTAAGTAAATGCGCTAAAAAAGCAATATATGCCATTGTATTTTTATGCCTGTCAGTAGTTAGTGTATTAACTGGAGGGCTTGCTACAGTTTTTGTAGCGACTGGTTTAGCTCATGATGCCCAGTGGCCAGCTGGATACTATGTAGACAGTGATGGTAGAAGAGTACTATTTTCAGGTGATATAGCAACAAGAGCACCATTACTTGCTGTAGCAGCTGTTACTCTTACATCTGCTATAGCTGATTGCGCATTATCTGTCACATGCTGTATTGTTGCCGCTCAAGAAGCTTGTCAGTGCTATGTCTGTTCTGATGATGATGACCCTGTAGACCAAGATTCCCGAGTTCGCCATGATCGGTTGGTAACATGGCTTGGTCAACAAGCTTTAATGGATTTTATGATGGCCAGTGGTAAAATTCCTGATAATTTAAATCCCAACAATGTAACAAAAAATCATTCTATAAATACACACACTGTAGCAAAATAAAATATTTAACATAAATATCTCTTCACTTATCTAATCAACCTTCATATCATGAATTGCAGTTACAGATGTTGAAATGATACAGATAATGAAAACAAAAAATCCTGTGCAGCTTACTGCTACAGTAAGAAGCTTAACAAAGTGCAGATGAACAGTAAAATAATAACCTTATCATATGCTTTTAAAATTAGGTTAAAAATAGCCCTACTTTAATATTAATTTTACAGAAGTTTTCCTGTCTTGAATATGACTGCTCTTTATCAAATAGAAAAAAAATATTCTACTACTATTTTTCTAGTGAAGGGCTGATTTTTTGTACACTTTTGGTTCGAAATAGGGCATATCATGAATGCATTAACATATATACTAATTTATTTTTTACTACCCTAAATTTTTAATTTTTGATGTCTCATATTAGTAATACTCGTTTATATATATATATACATATATAAATATGTAATATATTCAGTAGCAGGAATTTGGATGGCGAATGCAGATTAAATCCTCAGTTTTAATTTTAGCAACATGTTGCAGTTACACACAAGTCGTCACATTAAATGTGCATGTTCCAAAAGGCTTATATTTTTGATAACTTTGTAGCAAGAAAGCAGCAGCAGACATACAGCAGCGAAGCTAGGCCAAAGCGTGGAAAGAAAGTACGTAATGTTCAGAGCGAAATCTTAAGTCAAACCAAGTTAGTTTTGGTTCTCAAAGCATTTTGATTGGATAGTTAATATTGCTGTAAAATTATTATTGGCTGCTTGAGTTTTAGTTCAATTTACTTCACTAGAATTCCGTAAAAGTCATATGACATAGATTTTTCTCGAAATGACACAGTGCAAATAGATGTTGCTATTTTTAGAACAGAGAAGGGAAATTAATTTACGCTCCTAATTTAATCTTTTACATATTCTTTTTCTTACATATATATATCTGTAATGTACTATTTATAAAATAAGATAGTGCGTGTGTGTGTGTATATATATATAAGGTAATTATTAGTAATAAGTTGCCTAATACTTGCGGTAAAGCTGCTAAGTAATATAATAATTTATTTACTAGTAGATTATTGAATATATTATCTCCTAGGAAAATAAATAGTTAATTTAGAGTTCTATTGTAATAAAGTGACTCATTAGCATATTTAAAATTGAACTGAATAGGTAATACAAGAGCGTAGAAAAAACTGAAAAATTAATTAATTTGAAAACAAAAGTATAACCAACTGGCTAAGTAATTATCGCTATTGACCGGAAATTAGTTGACTTGTTGATGGAAACAAATTAATTTGCGATAAATTAACAATAATTAAATGAAGCAAAAATGTTTTGCCTTTTTCTCAAGTAAGAATCAAGACTAAAAAACTTGTTCAGTAAGACAGAATTTAAAATTTTACAAATTGTTAATTAAGAATCACTAAAAATAGCACAGAGAAATTAACTGGCTATTCTGTTTTACTTGAAATGCAATCTGATAATCGAAACTTATAATTAAATTAGAGTAAGGTGTAACGAACCTGCAATTAACTATGGCGGCCCGAAGAGCCAAAACAAAGCATCTGGTGGTTCAGTTTTTCTAATGCTATTTATTATCCATTATATTTACATATTTACAACTGTCCTATTGTTAGGCGGACTACCTTCACAGAAATCATATTGCCTAATCAAAACGATATTTCGTTTCTACTTACATGCATTGCGCTACTGCCAAGCAGCGCCCTCTACTTCTCTCTTTACAACACGCCCACCAGCAGCCGAGCGGTAAAGATGCTGAACACTGGTAGTTCGGTCCGAGGTTCGAATCCCGCGAACGGGCTGGCTGCATGGGCGTTTTCGTGGTTTTCCCATGTGTAACGTGTATACGAGCCAGTTTCCATTAGAAAGTCCTCCACGAAGGCATCCCTCCCTTTAGGCAGATAGCCCTCGTGTGCTTTGCCGTAATTAAACACAATCCTAATCCTCTTTACAACACTCCCCACCTGTGAACTCTTTAAGTTCACACAAACCGAATACAAAATAAACCAGTATTTCTAAATCAAACACAACATTTGAATACTATATAAACTACATCAAGTTGCAAATAACAATTAAGTAATGTTTAAACACATTAAATCAATTTATAAAGTATTGACTAAAAAAGAAACATTATACCAAATCAAAATTCGTAATAATCATATAAACTAATCTATATTTAGCAACAATCAATAAAGATACTCAGAAGATGACATATGTGCAAACAACAAATCCAGATTATTACACTGTAACTCTTTACTACTAATTATGCACTTCAAGGTTGTACAGCAATTGTACTGGTCTCTTTAGATTACCTGTTTGAGTTTTTAATGAGACACAAGAGCGAACCTGACCATCTCTGCCAGGATAAGTTTCTATTATCTTACCTAGTGTCCACAAATTCCTAGGTAAACGGTCGTCATGTACAAGGACTACGTAATTAACATTAAACCATGGACCTTATAAATAAGGTCCATGCATTAAACTGACCAGACACTTTAGTAGGTGGACATAAATTCCACAGATCTTAAAGAAAGCAAGTAATCCTTCCTCCACCTATTCCAAAAGTGGTTTAACAAGGTTTGTTGATGTTTATACCTTTTGATCAAGGAATGTCTAGACCCAATCAAGTCTTCTCTGCACACTCTTGTAACTGGAAGAGAAAGTAAACGTTTACCAATTAAGAAATGAGCAGGAGTTAGCGGTGAGGGTTCTGAAGGGTCATTGTAGACATACGTTATGGGCCTTGAATTAATTATGGCTTCGATTTCTATTAAGACTGTTTCTAGCTCATTCAAACAGAGACTAGAACATCCAACTATTTTCCTCTCCTAGAACCCTCCCCAACATGCTCCCTTTTCCACAATAAACTTCCATGTTATACCGTGGGAGGAAAACAAATTTTGACAGATGGATGTTGAATACACTTCCAAATTTTTCGCAACTTGAGATCAGCACATTTGAATGTCTTGGCATTGTCCGAACATATCGTTGAGCACAATCCACGACGAGAAATAAACCTGCGAAACGCAAGTATAAAATTCTCCACGCTCATAGAAGGAACAAGTTCTAGATGTAAAGCTCGAGTTGTAGCACATGTAAACAAAAGCAGATAATGTTTATTCTTGCTGTCCTTTGTAAAGAAAAAGGGACCAGCATAATCCAGCCCTGTTACAGAAAATGGAGATGATTGAAGAACACGATCAGGTGGTAAAGGAGCGGTTTCCTGTGTACCGGCACGCACCTTGTATCGTTTACACAAAAAGCACTTACTTAACGTGGACTTGACGAATTGGCGTCCTTTTATGATCCAAAACTTTTCTCTAATATCGGCTAAGGTAGCTTCGACTCCAGCATGAAACAATTTGTTATGAGACTCAAAAATTACTAGTTCACTGTATCTATCTTTATAAGGTAACAGCCATGGGTGTTTTTCTTCGAAAGCAAAGTCTGAGAATTGAAGTCTGCCCTTTAAACGCAGAAGACCATGGGTATCCAATTCTGGGTTAAGTGAATAAATCGACGATGTCTTTTCTAAGCATTTTTCACTTGATAGATCTAGAATCTCTTTCGCAAAGTATTTTCGCTGTGTAACTTTTACCCAATAGAGCTCAGCTCGCGAAATCTCAACAGAGCTTAATGGACCTTTGACTTTCACTGAATTTCGTTTTATATTGTTGGTAAACCGCATAAGCCGTAATTCGATACACCTTCAGCAGCCTGCTGAATCGCGTTAACTCTAGTAATGCCGAAGATTCTACGTCTTGAACAGAAACATGAAGAGATGTTTGCATCCTTGCTTCGTTCTGAACGCTCTCCTCGTCGATGTTGGTCTGTTGATTTACTGGCCAAACACTTTCAGGTTGAGACAGCCAGCTAGGTCCCTGTAACCAAAGGGAACTTCTCACAAGGTTAAAGGCATTTTCTCCTCGAGATAAAAGGTCAGCAGGGTTTTCACTCCCACTGCAGTGAAACCAGCATTCAGGATCCGTGAGTGACTGAATATCAGAAACTCTGTTTGATACAAAGGGTTTCCAGTTTCTTGCACATCCCTTTATCCAGTAGATAGTTATTTGGCTATCACTCCAAAGAAACTTTTGATGACACAGTTCAGGAAACAGCTTTGTCAAATACATAGACAATTTGGCGACTACTAAAGCAGCCATCAACTCCAAACGAGGTAGAGTCATAGTCTTGAGTGGAGCTACGCGCCCCTTTGGTGCGATGAAACTGGCGCAAATAATGTTTTTTGAATCAAGGTATCTAAAGTATATGCTACTGCGCCGTACGCTTTAGGGCTAGCATCAGCAAATACATGAAGGCTAACATTACATTTTTCACTACTACCAAAATATTTTCTCGGAAGAGAAAAATCCTCCAACACCTTTAATTCAGCTTGCCAGAGACTCCAGTCCTTAATTATTTCTAATGGAAGAGTATCATCCCAGTCCACACCTAATGTCCAAATTTTTTGTAATACAATTTTCATTTTCATCACAAAGGGTTGAAAACACACCAATTGGATCGTAAACTTTGGCCACCATTTGGAGAATAGTCCTTTTTGTGGCCTCAGCACTGTCATGGGATAAATTTCCTAAAAATTCGCAATTCAACTTGATCTTATCTGCTTCAGAGTTCCAGATAATGCCCAAAAATTTTGACTCTTTAGCTGGTTCTATGTTATTACCTTTTCCAATCCACCAGGAATTAAGTTCCTCGGAATTTGACCTTAATTTTCTCAAATTCATCTCAGCGTCTTTAAAAATCTTAACCACGTCTGAAGATAATCGACATGCATCCTCAATAGTGTCTCAATAGTATATATCGTCTAAATATAACGAAGAATCTAACATTTCATAACTTTCTGGATTTGTGCTTTTATATTTTTTATCATACCAGTCCACACCTAATGTCCAAATTTTTTGTAATAGAATTTTCATTTTCATCACAAAGGGTTGAAACACACCAATCGGATCATAAACTTTGGCCACCATTTGGAGAATAGTC